GTGTCCCCTGTCCCCATAGCCACAGCCCCCCAAAATTGAGCTCTGTGCCTCAGTGTCCCCTGTCCCAACAGCCCCAGCCCCCCAAACCGAGCTCTGTGCCTCAGTCCCCCCGCCCCCCCGCAGCCCCAACACCCCCCCAAGGCACTGCCAGTCCCCAAATCAAGCTCTCTGCCTCAGTGTCCCCCGTCCCCACAGCCCCAGTTCCCCAAAACCAAGCTCTGTGCTTCAGTGTCCCCTGTCCCCACAGCCACAGACCACCAAAATTGAGCTCTGTGCCCTGGTCTCCCCTGTCCCCACAGCCCCAACTCCCCAAATTGAGCTCTGTGCCTCAGTGTCCCCTGTCCCCACAGTCCCAACACCCCCTCGAGGCACTGCCAGTCCCCAAATTGAGCTCTGTGCCTCAGTCTCCCTCATCCCCACAGCCCCAGCACCCCCAAAATCGAGCTCTGTGCCTCAGTGTCCCCTGTCCCCACAGTCCCACTGGTGCCGTGCCTCAGTTTCCCTCTAGGGGACTGCACCCCTGACCCCCCATAAAACCAGCTGTGCCTCCCCCACCCCCAAATCAACCCAACCCCCCCCAAAATCAATCCCCCTGCAGACTTCCAGACAACGCCAGCGACTCGTGTTTATTACAAAAGAACTCGTCGTTCCCCATTTACAAAGGAGCCCCCCAAAACTAACAATTTTCATCTAAGTCTTTTGTACAAAAAAATAGCACTTTGGGACCCAAAAAAATCGCCCCCAAAAAATCAATCTTTTGGGGGTTTTATGACATCAGCCACCGGATTCGTAAAAACCAATTCCCCCTCCCCCCCAAATTAAAATAGAACAGAGATGGGACGAGATCAAACAGGGAGAGAATTATTGCCAGTTTGGGGGGGGCAGTCCCCCCAGGACCCCCCCCCACTGCATAGAGAACCGGCCCCGGCCCCCCCGGAATGAAGGGGTGACAGTGGATTAAAGCTGGGAGATGGGGGCAGCCTTGGGGACAGCCCCCACCCCCAAGAGCCCCCCGACCCCTTTGGGGGGAGCAGGAGGGGAGTGGGGGGACTCGTCCCCAACCTGTCACCCCTTTATCAAGGCACGTTTGTGTGTGTGTGTCCCCGGGAATGACTGGGGGGGTTGGGGGGGGGCTGCCGGGGGGGGTTTGGGGGGTGCTGGGAGCAGGGCAGGGACCCCAGTGCTGCAGAGCCCAAAGGGGGATGATCAGGCCCAGCTGCCCCCCTGGCAGCGGGAGCAGGGCTGGTGGTGTCCCCCCCCCACCCCAAAATCCTCTGATCCCCCCCCAAAAACACAGGGGAGCAGCCCAGGCGCTGAGCAGAGCCCACCCTGGGGTCCCCCGGGATTCCCTCCCCACACCCCAGCGGCGTTTCCATAGGAAAGTTAAACTCCATCAGGGACAACAGGGAACATCACCTGGGAAGGGGGGGGGGCAGGACACAAGGAACATCATGGGGGGGGGGAAGGAGGGGGACACGGGGAACATCCGGGGGAAACAACACAACACCCCTGGCAGAGCCCGACCCCCCGCCGAGGGTCCGGGCGCGGGTTTGGCACTTGATCCCTGCTGGGCATGGGGGGGGGCCTGCTGGGCATGGGGGGGGGCTGGGATGGAGCAGAGCTGGGCTTGGGGTGGGGTGGGGGTCAAGGACCTTCCCCTCACCCCTGGGTGGGGGTAAACAGGTTGGGGGGGGGGAGGAGAAATCATCTATTGACAATTAAATTAAGAAACCTCCTTGTTTTCTCCCAATCCTTTGTGGTTTTCCAGGCACTGGGGTGGGTGGGGAGGGGGGGGGGAGCTCATAGTGCTTCACAGGGTATTAAAATACAAATGCTTAAAGTTTCCTATATAAAAATATACAAATGCAAAAATAGATATCGAGAGAGAGAGAGAGAGAGTGGGGATGGAGGGGGGGTGAGGGGGGTGGGCCGGGCCCTGAGCCCCCCTCCCCGCAGAGCTTCTGCCGCCTTTGCTTTTTACAAAAAAACCCCAAAATAAAAACAGTCACGCTTCACAGTTTGGCCCCGGCTGGCTGGGGGACCCCGGGGGGTGGGATCTGGGGGTCTCTGGCTCCTGGGAAGCCTCTGAGTGTGGATAAACTCCGAGAGCAGGGGGACACGGGGCACTGGTTGAATTCCTCTCCAGAGGGTTTCCCAAAGGGATTTTGGCAACTCAGCCCCCACTGCCACAGCACCCACTTGGTGGTCCTGGCTCTGCTGGAGTATCTCCCAGGAAAAGGGGGTGTCCCAGGAGCAGGGACACCCCAGGGGGGGGGGTGTCCCCAGGGGTGGGGATATCTCCCGAGTGGGGTGTCCCAGGGGCACAGGGGTGGGGTGGCCACTCTCCTCATGCCACGGAGATTATTCCCAGGCAGGGAAAAAAAAAATCACCTCTTTGTAGAAAATGCCCCAGCAGAAGCCCTGAAGGGGGGAGGATATCCCAGGCAGGTGGGATTTATGGATCAGGGGGCGATCACCGGGGTCCTCCCCTCTGTACCCCCAAGAGCAAGAGGGTCACACACCGACCCCAACACCGCAAACAGGGATGGCCCCAGGCCCGTCCAGCACTCTGGGACCCTCCCCCCGAGCTCAGCGCCCTCCTCATCCCCAGAGCCAGGATAGTTCCACATCCCAGGGTCATTCCTGGGACCCCCACCCCACTCTCTGCTCCCCCCTCCAGCTCAGACTGAACTCCTTGCTCAGCTCACCCCAAAACTGCTGCTTGGAAACAATCCAAGATTTCTCCCTGCAGCCTCCAGGGAGAGGAGGGGGGGGAGGTTGGGATCCACATCCCATATCCCACCCTGTTTTGGGATGGAATCAACCCCCCCTGGCCTGTTCCCAACGCAGGGAGCACGGATATCATCCGGGGCAGGAAGAGGAGGGTGTGGGAGGAAGAACGGAAAGGACTGAGCTGTCCTGGCCCTCCCACAGCGGGAAGAGCCGGATATTGGAACACCAAAAAGGTTTTTCCTGAACTGTACCCCATTTCCAAACACCCCTTTTCTTTTTTAGGAGCCACCTCCAAGCAGTGCCACAACAAAACCCTCGAGTGCCATCCCGGTGCTTCCCCCTCGCTCCGGGCTGGATGAGCTCTGCAGATGCTCCTTTTTCCTAATTATTATTATTATTCTTAAGACCAATGTTGGCTGTTAAAAACAAAAAATCAACATTTCCCCTGAGGAGGTTCCAACTGCCCCCAGAGAGGGTCCTGGCCAGGTCTCAGCCCCTCTGCCCACGACCCCCTGTCGGAGCGACTCCACGTGCTCTGATCCCACGGGACAGGGATCCCAGTGCTCCACTCCCACGGGACAGGGATCCCAGTGCTCCACTCCCACGACAGGGATCCCAGTGCTCTGATCCCACGGGACAGGGATCCCAGTGCTCCACTCCCACAGGACAGGGATCCCAGTGCTCTGATCCCACGGGACAGGGATCCCAGTGCTCCACTCCCACGGGACAGGGATCCCAGTGCTCTGATCCCACGGGACAGGGATCCCAGTGCTCTGATCCCACGGGACAGGGATCCCAGTGCTCCACTCCCACGACAGGGATCCCAGTGCTCCACTCCCACAGGACAGGGATCCCAGTGCTCCACTCCCACGACAGGGATCCCAGTGCTCCACTCCCACAGGACAGGGATCCCAGTGCTCCACTCCCACGGGACAGGGATCCTTGCCAAGAAAAGGGCTGGTAAAAAACAAAGATCCAAAGGAAAACCCGCCAAGGTCCAGTGCCGGCAGGGGAGGGCAGTGGGAGTACAAGGGTGAAAAATCCAGTGGAATCTCCCCCGAAAGAAAGGAATTACAGAATCACCTCAAAGCAAAGCATCCGACAGCCCGAGGAAGGGGAGGGGGAGTGAGGGGGGTCAGGGGATTTTTAGGGATTATGATGTAAAATGGAATCCAGGAAGGGAAGGAGAGCTCGGGCACCGTCCGAACCGCCCCAGAGGGACGACCTGCTCCAGGATAAGGCATCAAAGGGACCACGCCATGGTCGCAGCAACATCTCTCTCCTCTCTCAAACAAACACATTTCATATTTTTATATATATAATAATAATATAGAATCTTTTCTCTTTTTTTTTTTTTTTTTTTTTTTTTTTTTTTTTTTTTTTTTTTTTTTTTTTTTTTTTTTTTTGTGTGTGTCGTAAATTTGTCGGATCTCTGTCAGGTTTTTTTTTTGTTCTGTTTGAGTTTTTTTTTTTCTTTTTTTGCTAACGATACGGAATTTTTTTTTCCTTTCTTTCCTTTCTTTTTTTTTTTTTTTTTTTTTTTTACCAAGGCATGAAGGAGAGCGGCGGATGCAGAGTGCGAAGGAAACTCGGGCGGGGCGGGGTGGAGGACAGGCGGATGGAGAACGGGAAGAGGGTAAAAGGGGAGGTGCTGACAGAGGTGGGTGAGGGAAGGCGGGGGAGAATTGAATATGCGAGGGAACAGGGGGGGGACGGGTGGATGCGGGGGTGGAAAAAATGCGATCATTAAAAAAAAAGGAGTGGGGAAAGGAAAGGGCCAAAAACAAAAATAATAATAATAATAAGGTCAAGCCGAAATTAAAAAATATATATATATAGCTCTGGCCTTCGAATGTGGTCGGCGGCCCCGGAGGTGGCAGCGATCCTGGTCGGGGGGTTAGTGCTGGAGGCGCCGAGGGCCCCTCGCCGTGACGCCGCGCTCCGGCGGCTCCGGCGGCTCCGGGCTCAGAAGCCGTTGCCGCTGATGTTGATGGACTGAAGGTCGGCCACCTGCATGACGTTGATGCCACTGCTGGCCAGGCGGGCGATGCCCTCGGGGCAAATGGCCTCCATGGCCACCATGTTGGTGGCGATGAGGGCCGAGGGCGTGGCCCCGCCGTTGCCCTCGGCCGAGGCCGCCGTGTCCATGGGGACGGCCGAGACGTTCATGGCCACGTTGGTGGCACCTCCCTTCTTGTTCTGGTGGGTCTTGATGTGCTTGGAGAGGTGGTCGCTGCGCATGAAGCGTTTGGGGCACTCCGGGCAGGCGAATTTCTTCTCCCCTGGGAAAGGGAGGGAGAGGGGGGGGTGAGGGATCCTGGGGGGAAGCTAGATGGGATTTTGGGAAAAAGTTCTTCCCCCTGAGAGTGGTGGGGCACTGGACAGGCTCCCTGGGGATGCAACAGCTCAAGGAACATTTCAGAGATGTAATTTCACAGAATACTGAGCTGGAAGGGCCCCACAAGGATCACCAAATCCAACTCCTGAGTGAGGGACTGAACCCATAACCCCGGTGTTATCACCAACCTCCTGAGCTCATCTCAGGGTTTGCACAGCGCTCCTGGAGTTGGGAATTCGGGATCCTGGCCGGGGTCACTTGGGAGGGAGAGGGGTTAAGGGACCCTGGGGGGGATGGGGAAGCTAGATGGGATTTTGGGAAAAGATTCTTCTACCTAAGAGTGGTGGGGCACTGGACAGGCTCCCTGGGGATGCAAGAGCTCAAGGAACATTTCAGAGATGTAACTTCACAGAATATTGAGTTGGAGGAGCCCCACGAGGATCATCAAAAATCCAACTCCTGAGCGAGGGACTGAACCCACAACCTCGGTGTTACCACCAACCTCCTGAGCTCATCTCGGGGTTTGCACAACCCGGGGGTTTGGGTTTTTGGGATCGGGCGGGGCGTCGCCGGGGCCGTCCCGCACGAGGCCGGGAGTCGGGGGCGGATATCACCGGGAGATTCCAGGATTCCCTGGAGTGTCATGACCCCCAGCAGCCCCCCGGGCCCTACCTGTGTGCGTGCGCTTGTGCCGCTGCAGCTCGTCGGAGCGGGTGAAGCGCTTCCCGCACAGCACCCACGTGCAGATGAAGGGCCTCTCGCCCGTGTGCCACCGCAGGTGAGCCCGCAGGTGAGAGGTCTTCCCGTACACCTTCCCGCAGCCCGGGATGTGGCAGATGTGCTGCTTCTTTTTACCTGGATCCCCAGAGCTCCTGTAAAAAAAAAAAAAAAAAAAAAAAAAGAAGGGGGAAGAGTTAAACCCGTCCCTTGGAGGGAGAACTGAGCTCTGCTCCGTCTGAGTCAAGAAAAGTCTGGATGAGTGAAAAATCAAGGGGATGTTGCTCCAAGCCCGGTTTTTGTCCCTTGGTGCAGCTTAATTGTCTTTGCTCTCTGTGTGGAGCAGCTGCGGCGTGTCCTGTGGGGAGAGCAGTGAGCAGACACCCTGAAAAACGGGGAGGAAAAGGGGAGAATTTGAGTTGTGAGCTGGAAAATGTGAGTTTTGGGAGGTTTTTTCCAGCTCACTCGTGGCTGGTATCCATCCCAAAGGGAGACACGCCGAGAGGTTGGGGGGCTCCTGGGTTTTGCTTCTCTCTTCTTTTGCCTTAAAACAGGTAACACTGAGCTGGGGGGATGTGGATCTGCTGGAGGGCTCTGCAGAGGGATCAGGACTGGCCAGAGCCACGGGATCAGTGGGATTAGGCCCACAGTGTGAGGTTCAACCAGGCCAAGGGCCGGGTCCTGCCCTTGGGTCACAACAGCCCCATGGAACACTCCAGGGATGGGCAACAGCAGCTGGAAAGCTGGAAAAGGACCTGGGGGTGCCCAGGTGAAGATGGGGATGTGGCACTTGGGGACATGGGTTGGTGGTGGCCTTGGCAGTACTGGGGAAACAGCTGGACTTGGTGACCTCAGGGGCACCTTCCAAGCTAAATAATTCCACTGGGGATGCCAGATCCCTGATGGAGCAGCTCACCTGCCCTCTCCTTCTTTGCAGTAGGGACAGGTACAGGCTTCCCTCCGTGGTTTCCGTCCCTGCTGGGGCTGGGGGTCGGGGCTGGTCTCTCCCTCCTCCACCGCCGCGCTCTCGTCCCCCAGCCCGTCCCCACTGGCACCGTGCAGACCCAGCTGAGCTCCGTGGTCACCTGGAAGAGAATGGGAGGTTCCATGAGAGTTATGGCAGGTTCCTCACCTGGGAGAGAGGAGGTTTGGCATTAGGGCTGCCTGCTCTGCCCCCGAGGGCACAGGCATCCAGATTTCCTGGGAAAAAGGCAGTGCTGGGCAAGCCCTTTGCTGTCAAGGACCGAAGCAATCCCAGATCAAAGCACCAACCAGGGAGCAGAGCCTGACTTGGCTCTGCCCACGTCACAGGGCATAGGGAGCAGCTGGGATGCCATCCAGGATGTCATCACGTGTCCATGCCCCAGCATCCCGTGTCAAAGCACACGTAAAATCCATATATCCCTGCAGATGGTCCCCTTCAGTCCCCTCTGGTCACTCAGGGAAGGGGGAAACACTGGGCTGAACCACAGCCTGTGACCTGGAGCTCTGGCTCCAGCCCTCATCCCAGAGCCCCAGGATGCACAGGAATATTGTCCCAGGCCAGGCCTGGCTGCCTGATGCCACCCCAGGGAGGAGGAAACTGTCCCTCTGATGGTGACACAATTTTAAGCCTCATCCGGAGATCTTTGGCTGAGCCCTCCTGTACCTCAGCAGCCACATTCCAGTTTAGCAATTTTAGGACAAAATCTTTCCAGTGCCCCCCTTCTCCAGCTCCTGGGATGTGTTTACAGTCAAACCCCAGCATGGAGGGAACCAGGGAGGGGGTTTTAAGCTTTCTAAGCCAACGCCGACAGCTTGTTGCAGCCACGGATTAGAGATTCCCCCCCCAGCCGGGAAGAGCTGCTGGAAAAAGGAAGGAGAAAACACACGTTCTCTCCCAAAAATACACCAGGGAGGGCGAGAATCCAGCCCTGACGCCTTGGAATGGCTTCAATCCTCAAACATGCAAAAGCCCACGCGGCGTTTTCCAGCCTGTTGGCACGTCAGGAGGAGGGGAACAAACCCAAATCCTCCCGCTGGTAATCTCTGGCTGCATCTCATCAAGGTATAAAGACATGATGGGGAGGGAAGGCAGATCCCAGACGTGCAGGGATCATCCCTCACTGACCAGGAGAGCCCAAGTCTCCAGGATATGGCAGGTTCAGGGGAAAGCTGGATAATTCATGTTTATTATCCCCACTAATACACATCACTGCTAAGACTAAAGCTTCCCTGGAGGCTCCCAGGCCCCTGCTCCATGCTCAGGTCAGCAAAGCCCTGCAAAAATATATTCATGGAGCAAGGAGGGGGGGGTTAATCCTTGGAAAAGCCTGGGGAGGAAAGAGGGACTTTAGGAAGGTGGGAGATAGGAACTGATCCTGGCTCCTGAACCCAGCCCTGCTCTGCCAGCACGGGATGGGGACCTCTGAGACCCCCCAGAAACGGGGCAGTTTGCTGATCTCCCACTAAAAACCCCAAACCCCGGAGCCTTGGCTTGGGAATTTTCTCCAGACAAGGCCTTCCTTGTCTCCTACCTGCTGCTCGGAGGAAAAAAGCTTCGGTTGGGTCGCTTTATTTAGCAAACTAACAGGAGGCGAGAAATGCCCGGTGGAGAGGAGAGAGAGGAGCTTTCACATCCACCCCAGCCGACCTCAGGAAAGGGGAAACAGACCCCACGTTCATTTTAAGGGGAAGAGCTGGAAATAAAACCCAAAACCAACAAACCAGGGCTCCTTGTGCAAACTCTGCACCGCTGGCAGCCGTGCCAGGGCAGAGGCAGGAGAGGACAAGGGGGGGGAGTTGTCACCATGCACGACGTGGCTTCCAGGCACAAGGAAGTTTTAAGGCAAAAAGAAAGGGAAGAAAACCCAGGGAACCCTCAACCTCTTGGCATGTCTCCCCTTGGGATGGATGCCAGCCACGAGTGAGCTGGAAAAAAACTCCAAAAACTCACGTTTTCTAGCTCACAACTCAAATTCTCCCCTTTTCCTCCCCGTTTTTCAGGGTGTCTGCTCACTGCTCTCCCCACAGGACACACCAGAGCCGCTCCACACAGAGAGCAAGGACAACCAAGCTGCACCAAGGGACAAAAACTAGGCTTGGAGTGACATCCCCTTGATTTTTTGACTCATCTGATTTCCTCAGTGATTTGCAAAATGAGTTAATCTGCACTAGGAGCTCATTGATGTAAACGAGCCAAGCTCTGCCTCAGCGAGTCCTCGGAGCTCAGGGAACACAGGGCCCGGCTGCACGAGGATGGGGCAGGTTGGGAGCCTGCAGCCCTTCGAGTAATTGTGCTTTAATTTGGGGGTTCATGACTTGAGAAGTCACCGGCCAGTTGGACAACTCCTGTAATTGCCAGAGGTTTCTGTGCGTCACGAAAAACGACACTTCCTTTGGAGAGGGAATAAATAGGGCTGGAGCTGATGGGTTAAGAGTGAGGTAGGGAATCACCTCGTCCACTTCGTGACATCCCTGAATCCTCCAGGACTTGCCACACACCTTTGTCGTGCTGCAGACTGACAGACAGAGCTCCTTTGCTCTCTTAATTCCTGTCTGGATTGTCACAAAACCGGGATGAAGCCTCTGGTCTTGCCATAGCCTTCACTGGGGCGAAAGCACTCAGAGCACCATAGTACAGGCAGGTTCCATCAAACCACCCCAAAACCACTAGGGGAGGTAAAGAGAAAAATCCCTGAGTGAGGAGTATGAAAGGAAGGAGGACAAGGGCGATTCCCATGGGAGAAGAAGCCCAGCAGGCCTCTCCCATTGCACCTGAACCTCCGGATGCCTCTCGCCCACTGCAGCCGAGGGCAGATGCTTCTCCGAGCCACAGATCCCGAGTTTTTAATCACATCCCTCCACAGAGGAGGAATCTGTGCCCGTATCACTCACAGCATCTAACCCAGGCATCCTGGGATGGGATGGGGAGCCGGCTGGAGGTGGGAGCCGACTCTCTGGAAAGGAGCCACGTGGAAACTCCCCCAGCCCCGGGAGCCAGGCTGCGGCTCCTGCACGGGGCGATAAGGATGGGGCTCCAGCAGGGCTGGGGTGGGCACAGATAAAAGAAAGGGGCAGATCAGGGCCCGGCAGACGGGCCGGAGCCGGGAGAGGAACCTCTCCCGGGAGGAGTCACGGGGTGGGTGAGCGGCACCCGACCCGTCCGACCGGCGCGGCTGCCAACCCGCTCCCAGCCCCGAGCCGAGCCCTGGCCTGGAGCAGGAGGAGGAGAAAGACAAGGAAAAGCAGGAGGCAGAGGATCAGGGCTGCCCCATGAAGCCCCAGGATTTTTTGTGGGGTACAACTTCCCCGGGACAAAGCTGCACTGTGTTAACACAGCCTCTGTCGGGATCATCCCCTTTTCCCAAGCAAACCCTGGGATCTCTCGGGATTTGTGTCCGTCCTCCTGTAAACGACAGGGAGAGAGGTCAGTCAAGGAATCCAGAGGGGATGTAAAGTCCAGCCCAGCTGGACTTTAGAGGAGGAAGTTTCACAATATGACTATTTTCTGACGTGATGTCATGGGCGCAGTGAAACAAAGCGACGGCACGTCACGGAGAGATCCTGTCAGGGCTTGATTCCCATTTTCCCCTCCCCTCCACACTCGATGCCATGCAGTTGTCTCATCAAGGCCCTGCTACAAAGCTGCCCTTAAAAACAGAAAACAGGAAACAATCAGGTCTTTGTGCCAGTGGCCTGACTCTGGGAAGAGCCCTGGAAGGACAAAGTGGCAGCAGAGAGCCAGGATGTCTTTGGTGAACACATTCCCAAGGGTTACTTCCCCTGTGGAGGTTTTTTTCCTTTCAGGACAGCCCTGATGTCCAACTGCTCGATTCTCCCACAGCCTCCATCCTGAGCCTTGGAAAGGAGCTCATCCTGCCCACACATCCCTGGGCAGGGGCACCCCCCCAGTCCCACCAGTGCTCTGGGCACCCACCAGCTCCATCCACCCCTAGGATCAAACATCCTTTAGTGCCCCCCAAAACAAGGGGGTTTAACTCCAGAGCTGAGCTCAGGGGAAATCGCCAGCCAGGTTTACCCAGCACACACCTCAGCCAGGCAGGGCTCTGCCAGGGGCAGGGATATGGGGGCAGCAGGGCTCTGCCAGGGGCAGGGACACGAGGGCAGAGCCACCAGCACTACATGGATATGGAGCTAAGAACAGCCTCCTCCTCCTCCCTACGGTAAAAGGGGAAGAGAAACCCCGGTGTCACAAACTCCCTGCCACCCCCCTCTGCCCATGCAGGACGTCCCCTCCCTGAGCGGGCTCGTGGTGACATTGGGGTGACTTTGGGGTGACGCTGCTCTCCTGGCTCACAGCCCCACTAAGGGGTCCCGGTGTTCCAGCCCCCACCAGTGCCCAGTACACCCCCAGAGCCCCCGTCCCTCACCCAGGCCAGGCCTGGTGCCCGCCCCGTGTGGGGAGCGCTGGCACCAACCCCGGGGCAGGTTTTGGGGCACTGCCAGCCCAGGAAATCCCCTCCCCGGCTCTGTGGGCGCCTTCCCCTCGGAGCAGAGCCGGCTGCAGGGCCTGTTCGCCCACATACCAGCCCCTGACAGTCACAGACCTTCCTGTGCCTCCTTCCAGCCCGGCTGAGGAGGAGGAGGAGGAGGAGGAATCAGCCTTCAAGCCACCTCATTAGCACAGACGCTGAGTTCCATCGGCTCTGCCTCACGCCCAGGAGCAAAAAAGCTGAGTTTTAATGCCCTTTTTGGGTGTCATTTTCGCCTGGGGGGGGGCTCTTTCCTTTGCCAAAAGGAAAGTTAAAAGCAGAAATGTCACCAGCAAGTGCCCTTGAACTCCTGCAGGGCTGGGAGACACAGCCCCCCATCCACAGAGTGGGGTCAGGAGAGGGGTCACGGAGAGGCTGCAGACCCCAAGGAGGATGAGCTGAGCTCTGGCAGGATTGCAGGAAGGGGCAGGAGATGTGGCACTGCCAACCCAGAGGGACAGTTGGGACCACCACAGCCCTTGCCACGCACCCCTGTTTCCTACCCACCACCCCACAACACGCTGCAGGATCCAAGACCAGCTACAGTCTCCCCTGCCCAGCAAGCCTGGGGCTCGTTTTCCATTCTCCTCCCCTGGAAACAGAGGAGCATTTTCTGCTACAAAAATCCCTCCCAACTCTTCGCCTCGAGCAGAAAGTTCCAGCACATGTGGGGCGAACTCACAACCGCTGGGGAGGCTCCACATGGAAAACGCTCAGGGATTTGGACGACAGGCAGTGTTGGGAACAAACTGCTCTCTCAAATTCCCACTGGGAGGGACCCACACTCACAGCCCCTGGTGGGATGGACCCAGGTCCAGGGGGGGTTCAGCACCCCCTGGAGAGGGGCTGGGGGACAAAGGGACCCATTGCCACGTCTGACTGGAGAAAAACTCCTCCAGCCTGGAGTCAAACCACGTAAATCCTGTCACTGGATCGGCACCAGGAAGCTTGTCCTGGCCGCAGCTTCCACCATCTCATCCCAGGAGCCTCCCGGACCATCCCACCGAGCTGGGTGCCCCCCAAAAAAACGCTTGGAACCCCTGCTCTGGCTTTTCAAATGTCAGCACGTCATGGCAGAGCGTGAGCTGTGAGCAGCGTGAGCTGTGAGCGTCACTTCGCGTCCTCGGGGCTGGGGCAGAGCCAGGCTGGGAATTCGTCACTGCGGATCAAGGGCTGAACACGCTGCTGTTCAGCAGCAGGAGGGGGAGGAGGAGGAGGAGGGGGAGGAGAAGGAGGAGGAGGAGGGGGAGGAGGTGGCGGCTCCCCAGCGTGAGCGCGTTGGATGGGTGGTCTCTAGAACGTTCCTCCCTGTCCCACCTCCGGGGGGCAGAGCCAGGCACGAATACAGGAACTGGGACTCGCCCATGCGTTTCTCCAGCGCCTTCAAAACAAGGAACAAGCTCGGCCTCGGCGTGAGCAGCCCCAGGCACGGGGGGAAACCACACACAGACCCCCAACTCTCCCCTGCATCCCTACGGATCAAAGAGGCCACGGGCGTCAGCCCCCTCCGGGTCCAGCCCCTCGCGGGTCTCTCTGCTCGGGGAAATCCAAGGATCAGGCTAATCCCGGGCTGTAGTAACCCGTGGATGCCTGCGAGCCAAGCTGCTGTAGCAACAGCCCAAAATAATGCTGCAAAACAACCCCGGGAGAGCAGCAGCCGCCGCCTCTCGCGAGAGGGGAGCACGAGTTGGATTGAGCAACATTTTCTGCTGCCTCTCAGCTGTGACTAAATCCAGCAACAGCCCTCTTAGCCAGAGCCAGAAAAAAAAAAAAAAAAAACCAACAAAAAAACCCCAAGGAAAACAGTGGAAAAGCAAGCAGAGAGCCTTCCCAGAACCGATTCCTTCCGCGGAGGGAGCTCACGGCCCCTCGGACTCCAGGCACGGCCCCTCCAAGGGAAGCCAAGCAGCCTCCAGCTCACTCCCCACACCCACATGTCCCCCCTTCCCGGGCAGTGGGAGGCGATGGAACAGATCCAGGGGGATCTGAGCAGGGTGCCCTGTGCCCACGAGGAGGTCATGGTGTCCTGCAGCAGCACCCGGACACTTCACTTTATGCTCTTTCTTCCTCCCCTGTGTGGAAATTCCCCGTGGCTTCGTGACTGTGTTTGTTTTGACGGGGTTTTCAGTTAATCCCGAGTTTTCTACAGCCCTGACTCTTTCCTCAGGCTCAGCTGAGGAGCTGAGCTGGACTTGGGTTCTCCCTTCAGCCCTGACCCAAGACCCCCTGGGTGGCCATCGGGGCAGGACAGTGGCCTCACACAAAGCCACACATCCCCTTTGTCCCCCCACCTTCCCCCTCACAGCCACCTCCTCCCTCTTCACTCAACCTAAGAGTTAATTAGCTCAGAAACTCCCCCCCAGAAAAAGACTTTTAGTGCCTTGTGGTGATCCACAGAGCTTTCATACTTCCTCCCGAGGGAGGAAGCCAGCCCAGATGCCAACTCCATTTGGCACCGACCACCCCCAGCCCAGCCCTGGCACGGCCCAGACGTGGCTGAACCCGGCCGGGTGACGCCACTTCCCCCTCACCTTCCTCTGCCTGGCTACAAACAGGAACCAAAGCACTCACCGGGGGCGTTGGCGATGGCCAGGGGCAGCCCCTGCAGCTGGTGCACCTGGATCCCGGATGCTCCCAAGGCACTGAGGTTAATAGTCTGGAGGCCCGGCACGGAGGAGAGCTGGGCAGCGTTGACGGTGACGGTGCCGCTGGGGAGGGAGGCGATGGGGGTCAGCGTGGTGCTGGTGCTGCCCGTCTGCCCCAGCGACACTCCCTGCATGGGGGCCAAGGTGATTGTCTGGGCCTGGGGGTTCTGCACCTGCAGGTTCTGGAGCTGGATGGTCTGCCAGCTCACCTGCCCGTTGGGACCCACCGTGGGCGTGCGGATGATGATGGGGCCGGAGTTGGGGACAGCTTGGAGCTGCAGGTTCTGCAGGGCGTCCTGGGAGATGGCTTGAGTGGCAAAGGTCTGGCCGGAGAGCGGGGCGGTCTGGAGGGCCTGGATTGTCTGCCCTCCTTGGACCAGCTGGGGCTGGATCAGGATCTGCTGCTGCTGCTGCTGTGACTGCTGGCTCTGATCCCCCTCCTTCTGCTGCCCTGGCTGCAGAGCCACCCCGGACACGGGGCTCTGCAGGGAGTCCGAGCTCGGGACACTGCTGGCCCTCTGGGGCGTCTGTGCCTGCGAATTGGTTCCCACCGTGGCGCTGGTGGAGAAATTCATGACCCCCACGTTACTGGTGGTGGTGGTGGTGGAGTAGCTGTTGGCGTTGGTGAAGAAGGCGCCCGAGCTGGCCTGGGACGAGGCCGTGCTGGCAGAGCTGCTGGTGGCACCCGAGGTGGCCGGCTGGGAGCTGCTGTCCGGGGAGCCCGAGCTGCTCAGGGTGCCCGTCTGGGACGTGGGCGCCAGGCTGGCGGCCACGCTGTTGACCGGCAGCAAGGTGATGTTGCCGTTCAGGGCCACGGGCACGTTGGCCACGTACTGGGTCTGCCCAGAGAGGCTGTTGTTGGCCAGGCCCACGCCCTGGATGGGCACTGCCTGCTGCAGCAGGTTGGGCATGGCGATGAGGTTGCTGCTCCCCGCGCGGCTCGTGATGATCTGCTGGTTGGAGCCGGGGATGATCTGGAGCTGCCCGGAGGCATCCTGCTGCACGTTCACCTGGGCAGGGGTGGTGGCAAACTGCAGCTGCTGCCCGTCTATGGTCTGGAACTGGGGGATCACCTGGTACTGGATGTTGGGGATGACTCCCGGCAGGCCCGTGAGCACCTGCTGGTTCTGCAGGCCCGAGGCGGAGGTGACCACGTACGGCCCCGCGCTCACCGGGCGGCTCTTGGAGGCGTCACCGCTGCCATTGCTGCCGTTGCTGCCCGGCTCCTTGGAGCCCGTGGGGGTGCTGGAGCCCGCCGAGATGATCTGCCAGCCGTTGGCCGACTGGGCGATCTGGGCGGCGGCCGCGTTCAGGTCGAGCTCCCCACTCCCGCCTTGCTGGCCCTGGGAGCTGTTGGAGTTCTCGTTGGGAGATTCGATGCGGCTGCAGGTGGCTGCCAGCAGGGCCAGCGGGGAGGGCTGCGACTCCTGGGAAGGAGAGGAGGAGTTACACCGAGAGGAGGAGGAGGGAGGCGGCCCCAGGGGCAGGCCCGAAATGGAAAAAAAAAAAAAAAAAAAAAAAAAAAAAAAAAAAAAAGAAAAAAAAAAAGGGAAACAAAAAAAACTTAAAAGAGAAAGCAGGGAGGAGCGTACTCGGAAAAGATAAACACTCCTTCCTGAGCGAACCCACCCATAGCCGGAAAAATACAACTGCCAGGCAGAGCGCTGTCAGGCCGGGACGGCCTGAACCCACAGGGAAAAGCCCTCTGGGAGGGAGGAAAGGGGAGGGAAAGGCGAGAGAACACGGCTCCTCCACCCCGGAGCCGGGAAATCTCCCTGCAGCAGAACAAACCCCCGGGAAGGCCGGTCCTTGCCGGGCTCCCCCGACCTGGAGAAGGGCCAGTGGGGGCTATGGTGTTGTTGGGAGCAGGGGAACTGCGTGTCGGTGAGGAGGGGAAGCCCCGGGCGGTGCAGGCTTGGCAGCGCTCGCCCTCCCCTCCTCCTCTTCCTCCCCCCGGCGCAACGCTCGGCCGGGCCCAGCAAACACCTCGGCCCGGCCCCTGGACTTTGCCACGAGTTCCCCGGGGTTGAGCAGAGCCGGGCAGGGGCCGGTCGTCCTCCCCCACACCCCCTCTGCACTGACCTGGGCCTCCCCGCCGCCGGCGCTGCTGGTGCTGCTGGCGTCGCCTTCGCCCTTGTCGGGCTTCACCGCCGACATCTCCTCGGGGCTCTCCTGGTCTGCGCGGGAGGGGAACGACAGCCCGCGTTACAGACATTTTGGGGCAGGGGAAGGGGCACGAGGAGCAGGAGAGCCGGGCAGGGCTCTGGGGATGGGGGGGCACACACACACACACACCAGGTGCTCCGGAGCGCCGGTGGGAAGGGGTTTGGGAAGCGGAGGGAGCTGCCAAAGGGGAGCTGGCAGCGGGACAGGGGGGGGAGGACCCGGCCCCGCTCCAGGGCCCAGCTCCTCCCCAGCCGCCCGGGACACTCCCTGGCTTCCATCGAGGTCCTCCCCGGGCCTCCCCCTTCCCTTCCCTTCCCTCCTGCCCCAGCCCCGTGGATCCACCCCGGGATTCCCCGCACCGTGGATCCAGCCCACGGGATGCCCCGGCTGGAACTGCCCCCCCCATCCACGCTCCCTGTGACACCCTCCCCCCGCCCCGTCCCTTCTCCCCCCAAAATCCTTCCTCTCTCACTGCTCAGGAGCCTCCTCATCCTCCGCCACCCCGCACCCCGGCCCTGGGGGTCCCTGCCCACACCCCAAGCCCCCTTTACCGGGGTCTCCTCCAGCTCCCACGCTGGGTGTGGGGGGGTCGAACCCCCTGAACACCCCCCCTCCCAGACCTCCCCCCGCCGCTCGCACCTTCCCACGGCCCCCCCTCCCGGGCCCCCCCGCCCCGGCTCCCGCATCCGCCCACGCCGGGCGCCTTCCCCGGGAATGGCGGGCGGGGGGGAACCACCGGTACCTGCGCTCACACCCTGCCCCCGCCATTCTCCCCCCCTTCCACGCCCGATCCCCCGGGACCCCCTCCACGATTCCAGGGCCCTCCCCGCCGCCCCCTCCTCCTCCTCCCCATCCCTGCCCCCCGGTCCCTCCCCCGAGGCTTTTCCCCCTCCCCCGGGTCCCTCCCCCCAAAGGGCAGGTTTCCCCCCCGGGCGCGGCGCGGGGCGAAGGCCCGGCCCGGCGGGGCCTCGGCCCGGCCCGGCGGGGCGGGGCCGCCTCTGGCCCCTCCGAGCGGGCGGGCGCGGCGCCCGCCTTGCGTTGTGTGTGTGTGTGTGAGAGAGAGAGCCCGGGGCCCCGCGCGGCGCTCGGGGCCCGGCCCGTCCTTACCGCTCATGGTGCCGGGGCCGGGCCGGGCGCGCGGGGCGGGGCGGGGGCGCGGGCGGGCGAGCGGCCGAACCCGCCGGTGCCGCCGAGGGGCTGCCGAGGGAGGGGCCGCGCGCGGCAGCCGCGGCCCCGCGCCCCGCCCCCCGCCCGCCCCCGCAGCCAATGGGCGCCGCGCGCGGCGAGAGCGACGGGCGGCGCGGCCAATGGCGGGCGAGGGCGGCCCTGGCGCGCGCGGGGGAGGGGCGGGGAGGGCTCCGCCCCCGCGGCGGCCCCGCCCCCTGTGGGGAGGGGGGAGGGGGAGCGCGGCGGGCGGTGGCCAATGGGGGGCGGGGGGAGGGCGGTGCCGGCCAATGGGCGCCCGCGCGGGCTCGCGGGGAGACCCCGTACGGGAGCGGCCGCGGCGGCGGTGACGGGCGTGCGCGTCGGCCAATAGGACGCGGGGGGGCGGGACCGGCGGGTAACCGGCGCCAACCGGCCGCGCCGCGGTGGGGGCGGTGCTCCCGGAGTGACGGGCGTGTGGACCAATGGCGACTCGCAAGCCGTGGGCGCCGCGCCAATCCGAGCGCCGCTCGGTCTCAAACTGGCCAATGGGCGCCGCGGGGAGGCGGGGCCGCGCGGCCTTGGGGTGACGGCGCCGCCGAGGGAGGGGGAGCCGCCATGTTGGGCCTGGGCAGGGCCGGGCACCCCCAGAGCCGCCCGGGACCCCCAGAGCGGGCCGGGACCCCCCCGGGCACCCCTAGACAGACCCGGGACTGCTCTCGACTTCCCTCAGTACCGCGGGCCGTGCGCGGCTCTGCGCCGCCCTCCCCTTCCGCTTTCCCCGCCACGAGCCGTCTCGGCCCTGTCGCGACAGCCGCCGTGGCGCTGCGACGCGGTCCTGCTGCACCCCCGGCGCCCTGTCGCGACATCGCCCAGCCCTGTCCTGACAGCGCCCAGCCCAGGCCGCCCCTGCCCTGGGAACGGGGGTTGGGGTGTTTTCAGCAAAAATCCTCCATTTTTGCCGAAAATCGAGGGGTTTGGTGGCGAACGGGGCGGGAGGTACCGCCCCCTCCCCCCCCCCCTTTGTGATTTGCCCATTTCCTGGTGCTTTTGGCCCAATTCTCGGCCTCGGGAAGGTCCCGCGGCTTCGGCCCGGTGGGGCTGGTTCAGTTCGGGGGCTCGGTCCTCCCCCACCCCGACCAGGGGAAATAAACCCCCCTGCAGAGCGAGGGGCGTGGGGACAACCTGTCCCTGCCCTGTCACCTGTCCCGATCCCAGATCCTGTCCCCAGCCTGTCCCTGTCATGTCCCCAGCTCCTGTTCCCTGTCCTTCCCCTGTCCCTGTCCTGATCCCACGTCCTGTCCCCAAACTGTCCCTGTCCTGTCCCTGTCGTGTCCCCAGGTCCTGTTCCCTGTTCCTGTCCTGTCCCCTGGTTCTGTCCCTGTCCTGATCCCAGGCCCTGTCCCCAAACTGTCCCTGTCCCGATCCCACGTCCTGTCCCCAAACTGTCCCTGTCCTGTCCCTGTTGTGTCCCCAGGTCCTATCCCCTATCCCAGTCCTGTTGCCTGTCCTGTCCCAGTCCTGTCCCCGTCCTGTCCCCCCAGACCTGCCCAGGGTGGGCTCACAGCCCCCTGCCCGCTCTGTCTCCCGAGAGAGAGTCACCGCAGGACCCCCCCTCAAAGACCCCCCTCTTTTAGCCCTCCTCGCCCCCAGCACCCCGTTACTCCCAGTAGGATCCTCATCCCACTAACTCCTCTCTGGTAACTCCCACCATTAGGACCCCAAACCCTGTTACCCCCCATCGGGACCCCCCAGTTAACCCCTCAAATTAACCCCCCATTACCCTCCCGTCTGGACCCTCCCAAATAACCCCCCCGGCCATGGGACCCCTCCCCAGTGTCCCCAGTAACCCCAGTGCCCCCCCCCGCCCCCCCTGGTGGTCGCAGCCCGTCGGTGCCGCCCCGGGCGCGGGTCTGTCCTGTCGCCTGGCGGGGGCGCCAAAGGAGCCGTGTCGCGACAGGGACAGCGACACCGACAGGGATTGTGACAGGGGCAACGACAGCGACACTGACAGGGACAGGGACACAAACGGTGTCCTGTCACCAACCCTGTCCTGTCCCCGACGCCGACCCTGTCCCCCACCTTGTCGTGTCATCAACAGGGTCCTGTCCCCAGCTGGGGCACAGGAGTGGCAGTGTCCCCCACCCTCTCCTGTCACCAGCGGTGTCCTGTCCCCAACAGTGGCACTGACAGGGGTGGCACCAACATGGCACTAACCCTGTCCTGTCCCCAGCAGTGTCCCCAGCCTTGTCCTGCCACCAACAGTGTCCCCAACAGTGTCCTGTCCTGTCCCCGAACAGCATCCCCAACCCTATCTAGTCACCAAGTGTCCTGCATTGTCCCCAACCTTGTCCCCAACCCTACACTGTCCCCCACAGTGTCACCAACAGGGTCTTGCCCTGTCCCCAACCCTGTCCTGTCCGGTCCCCAGCCCTGTCCTATCCCCAGTGGGGTCTCCAAACCAGGGTCCTGCTCTGTCCCCAGGGTTGTCCCCAGCCCTGTCCTTTCCCCAACAGGGTTCCCAACCCTTCCCTGCCCTGTCCCCAACCCTGTCCCTGTCCCTGTCCCCATCCCTGTGCCCATCTCACACTGGCCGTGCCAGTGCAGGACACGGCCCTGAACAGGGGCTTGGACCAGTATGGGGCAAACTGGGAGGGGAAAGAGGGCACTGGGATGGGGAAAGGGGGCAGTGGGACCAGTCTGGGGGGATCGAGGGCACTGGGATGGGGAAAGGGGGCACTGGGACCAATCTGGGGGGAACGGGAGCACTGGGGCCAGTCAAGGGGGGCAGCGGGAACAGCCTGGGGTGCCCACCCTCCCCCTGCACCGGGTCCCCCCCTCCCCGAGCGTCCCCCCGGGCCCCCCCCGGGCCCCCCCGCAGGTCGCGGCCGCGGAGGAATCAGGGCGACGCCGGGCGACTCCCAGCAATTTTGGGTTGGGAACCGCAGAAATGCAGCGCGGCGCGAGCCAGCGCGGCCCGGCCCGGGGACAGGGACGGGCGGGGGGGGTCACAGGGCCTGGGGGGGCCCGAGGGGGCCCCGAGGCAACACGGTCTAGAGCAGCTTGGGGGGCACCCAGGGCAGCTTGGGGGGGCTCAGGGCCGGGGGGGTGATCACTGACAGCTTGGGGGGGGTTGTCCTAGTACATCATAGGGGGGTGTCTCAGGGCTGGGGGGAGTCCCTGAAAGCTTGGGGGGGTCACAGGACATCCTGGGGGGGCTCCCTGGGAGCTTGATGGGGGGGCACAGGGATTGGGAGGACATGGGAGGTCCCCCAGATTGCCATAGGGGGGTCCTTGGCACCTTAGGGGGGGGACACAGGGCACCGTGGCAGCTTGGGGGGGGATCCTTTTGGCAACCTGGGGGGGTCCTTTGGCAGCTGGAGGGGGGGTCAGGCCCCCAGTGTCGCCCCCGCGGCTGCCGCTGCCACCGCTTTGATGTGGCTTCTGCACCGCAGAGCAATGGGAGCCACATGGCAGGGGGGACACCCGGCACGGGGGGGACACCGCAGATGGGGGACAGACGGACGGGGGGGGCGGACTTGGGGTCCCCGTGGTGCTGGGGTCCACCACTCTCTCCCCGGGTGCACCCCTGTCCCCCCCCTCGGGGTTCACCCCTGTCCCCCCTCCCCCCCGGGTCCATTTTGTCCCCCCGGTGTCTGTCCGGCCATCCCAGGGTCTGTCTGTCCATCCCGGGGGGCCGTCCTTGGCCCCCCCCCACACCCCAGGTCGTGCCCGTGTTCCACCCCCCACCCTGTCCCCCCGTGGCCCCCGCAGTTATTTCCAGGGATAATTCCCGGGATAATTAGAGGGTGGGAGGAAACACCGCGGGCGTGGGCACAGCTCAGCCCCGGGCCCCCCCGCCCCGCCCCGGCTTCCCCGTGTGTGGGGACCCCCCACCCCACCCCGGGCTCTCCCTTGTCTATTTTGGTCCCTCTCTGTCCCCACAGGTCCTCCCACATCCCCGGGTCCCCTCCAGGTGCTCCTGGTGCCTGTGGGTCCCCCCGTGTCCCCTCATGTCCCCCCAAACTCTCCCATGTCCCCATGGGTGCCTTATGATCCCATGGGTCCCCCCGGCTCCCCCGCGGTCCCATGGGGTCCCCCGATCTCCTCTGCAACCAAACTCATCCCCACATGTCCCCTCATGTCCCCCCCCATGTCCTCCCTCTCCTCCTGTGCCCCCACACCCAACAAGTCCCCGCGGACCCTCCATCCCCCACTGTGGGGAGGCTGAAACCGGGGGGGTGGGGAATCAATGGGATCCCAGGGGGGTCCCGAACAATTGGGTCCCCCCCCCGGTAGCGTTGGGGGGGGGGGCTCAGCCCCGCTCCGAGCCCTCGGAGCCTCCCCCCAGGCCCCCCCGGCCCGCGGGGCCCGTGGGCGCTGGTGGCCGGCGCACCCAGTGCGGGGGCTGCGCTATTTTGGGGCCTCCGACCGCAAGGGAAACATCCGGGGGCCGGAGAGGGCGGGGGGGGACACACAGGGACGGGGGAACACGGGGGCCTCCGCCGGGAGTGGGGGGGAGACCGGGGGGGGCCCCGGGGGTCACCCCCCCGGTGGTCCCGGTTGGCAGCCGGGGCGGGGGGCTGGGGGCAGAATAGGGGGGCTTGGGGACAGCAGGGCAGGAGGACACTGTGCTGTGCGGGTGGGGAACCGCATTCCCAGTGCCCCCAGTGCTGCATTCCCAGTGCCTGCCTGGACCCAGTCCCGGTGCTCCCTCAGTGCCCATTGCCAGTGCCTCCAGTGCCCGCTCCCAATATTCCCAGTGCCCACAGTGCCCATTCCCAGTGCTCCCCACTCCCAGTGCTCCCAGTGCCTCCAGTGCCCCCCGTGCACACACGGCAGTGATTCGGGGCTGGTTCTGCTCCCTCCTGAGGGGCTGCAGTGCCCCCGGCCCAGCCCCCGTTGTCACCACGGGAGGGGTAAGGGGGGGCTGCCGCGACCCCTGCACTAGGTGGGGGTGTCCCCTGGCCCTGGGGACCAGGATGGGGACGGGGACGACTCCAGCTCTGCAACCTCCGTCCTGCTGAGACCCCCCAAACTCGTGTCATGGTGGGGGGA